ACGCAACATACGTACATACATACATACATACATACATTCATACATATATATAATATATACATAGATGTAATAAAAGTATGTATTATGTAGGCATGAATTACTTTTTCTCCTTCCACACCCACCATAACATCAACAGAGAAATATGGTTATGGGGATTATTACTGTTATTCTTATTAGTGTTAATTTTGTGGCGGCTATAATAACAATAATAATGTTTGTTGTTGTGGTGGTTGTTGTTGTTGTTGTGGTTGTTGTTGTGGTTGTGGTTGTTGTTGTGGTTGTGGTTGTTGTTGTTGTTGTGGTTGTTGTTGTTGTTGCTGTTGTTGTCGGTTTTTGTCTAACACTTATAATACCGCCACGGCTTATTGTTATTTTTTAGTGCAGTCGTAATAACATTGGTCATAATTATTATTATTACTGATATTGTTGTTGTTGTTTTTATTATTATTGATATTGTGGTTGCTGTTTTTATTGTTGTTGTCATAACGGTGGTGGCAGTTGTTATTGTTACTGCATAATTTTATTGCTTGGTGGATTTAGACAGGTCTGCTACGTTCTACGTGTTGCTTTACAGCAAAGAGCTATTTGTAAGCCTCTGCATGCCATTTGTATTGCTTTCTGACTGCTAACATTCGTTCGTTCGTTTGTTCGTTCGTTCGTTCGTTCGTTCGTTCATTCATTGTATATATGTATAAGTATGTATACGTGTGTGTGCGTGTGTATGTGCGTAAAACAGTGTGGTGAACTTTGTAGACAAGGTAGACAAGTACATTTTGAAAACTGAAACTGTGTGTGGTGAATGGACAAGTTTAATCAAAATTATATTTTATAAGAAAATAATCGAGCCATAATGCCTTGCTTCATTGAAATTGACGTGAAGAATGAGAGAGAGAGAGAGTTGGAACGAAAAGATGACGAGAGGTAATGTGGTTCAGTTTTGTTGAAGGGAACAGTCCTAGTCGCAAGATATGTGCGTACATGTTGTATGTTCATATTCATGAAATGTTTTAAATTGTTCAAATTGTGTGTTTTTTTTAGAGAAAATAAAATATTGAAACGTTCGTTGAATGTATGATCACTAGTAACTAGATAAGAGCTGATAGTTTATCTGGTAGTTTTTTTAAATTAAAAAACAGCTTAAACAGGTTAAATTAATTTATTATTATATACGTACAAAGTTATAAAGTTCAATTGGACAAATTCCAGAAAATTCTAGTAAGGAAAATTAAAATGACAAACTTAAAATTGGTTAATGCCAACAATTCGGTAGAATTCATAAAGTACTGTATAGAATAGGGTCTCCTTCCAACACATGTATGTGTATATATGTATGTATATAACTGTATAGTAGTCAATAAAGCAACATTGACAGAAGTAATAAGGGCAGGCAGGCAGGCAGGCAAGGTGGCAGGTAGCGTAATAGCATCTGCGACGTGGCACTGCACAGTTTATTTATTGCTGGATGTCACTCAATCCGGATGAGCAACTGGAACTTTTAGTTTTCTTCTTCCTTTTGAAAGTCATTGCATGTGCCTCTTGTGTTTGAGTCTGCTGTTTTGTTGTTGAGTTGCGTCAGTTTTTTATGTGCATAATATACACACACACGCACACGCTCACACAATATAAAACTTTAAATATGTGTTTATTAAATAACACGAGAAAATCATAAGCGCGTTGTGAGTTCGAACATGATGTTTGTAGATATAATGAAAACGTTATCGCTAGTGTTCATTTTGATTTTATTGCGTTTTTATGTCAGTAAACATTTGCATGTTTATGTCTGCAGATACGTCTGCACGGCTCCTACGTATGTTAATTCAGATGCCAGGTTGTGTATGTTTCCATGTAAGTTTTTACATTTCCATCTGTTTTTGTATGATGTTTGTGTGTGTGCATCTCTGTAAAAACATATGTAAAACTTGAGAGTATGTGTGCGTGTGTTGATGTCTGTTTGCATGCACGCCTTATTCGCATGCTAATAAGTTATTTTACGAACATGCTTGCTAATTGCTATCTACAATTTATGCTTGGTGCCTATATAATATTATATATGTGTGTGTGTTTGTGTGCGTGTGTGTTTGTACGTGCATTACACTGGTTTATGACGTTGTATACAACTTTTTTGTATCACAGAAACTTGAGGTATGCTTCAGTTGGTTTTAAGCATTGAATGATTTCTAGCAACAATTCAATCCACTTATTTTTCTTGAGCTGATGTGACGACTTATTGATCCAAAATTTCTGGGTTCTACTGCTTTCTCGAATTTTATTCGCAAACCAACTTCGATCTATTGAATATATATATATATATTTGTTTACTTATATATATTATATATATATATATATAAAACATCAAACACTCGCCTCGCTATACACGAAGTTTGCAACTGACACTAAAAACTAGATTCACATGCTACTGACCATCTTGTGACTACCACAGGTTGAATTACGATGCTGGTTTGCAGGCAGTTGAATGTTAGCGTGCGTGAAACACCGAATGATGCACACTTGAACGTGCACACATGTACGCACAAATACAAAAATACGTAAATGAGAAATGCAAATGAAGGTATCGGTATGACGCACGTGGACCCGTCGAATAGCAGGCGCATCATTTTTTATCAGCCGATTTCAATCTCCTTGCACTAATGAATATTTAATGCATGAAACATTTCAATAGTTATGCTCTGACACAACGTGCAACAAACATTCACTATCCGAGTACAGGTGTTATACACAAAATCGTGCACTCCTTTGTTTACAAAGGTAGTTGTACGCTTAATGTTTGTACATGCATGTGTATATAAGCATGTAAAATCGTTGGTTCGACTTGTTCTTCATTCAATTTTCAACCATGTGATTGAACATAACTCATTCATTTGTTTCCCGCCGTATCATCACCATCACCATCCGAGATATATATATATATATATATATATATATATATATATATATATATATATACTACTTCTACTACTACTAAAAATACCAGATGAACTACATATAACAATATCACAAACACTGCGGATTGTAAAGGTTACCGAGCAAAGTTTTTATGTAAATGTATATATGAAAAATGCAGTCTAAAATAATTAGAAATTTTATTAATTTGAATAAATTGAATAATATCGATAAAATAATCGTTCGAAAAATTGAAAAACTTAGTTACAAACTCAACAATGCGGAAAATGCGGTGATATTTTCTAATAACTGCATATACGACAGTCTGAACCCAAATATATATATTACTCCTGATTAATTTTACCTTAGTGATCACAGAAACACTTTTGTAATAACAATAATAATAATAATGACGTCATTATTATTATTGTTATGACACAATCACTTGAAAAAGTTGGCACCGACATTTTGTTCATTTTTACCCATTCCATCATAACTTTAATTAAACACGACGACGAAATTTTTTCCCATTTTTGTTCTTTTCCAATGGCTTAACGATGATAATAATAATAAAAATAAAAATATAACAAAAATAAGATTTTTATTAAAATGTTACTTAAATAACAACAACAACAACAAACATCATCAACAACAATAATAATAATAATGATTTTCGTAATAATAATACTATTATTAAGATATTATTATTATTAAGATATTATTATTTTTATTATGAAAATTATTTTCCCAATCGTCACCTTCATGGTCACCGTTGCAAATGACAAACTGCATGCATCAATATTATCGCTATCAATATGAACCAAAGTCATCATCATCAACATAACTTCTCTTGCAGATGTTGAAGTACCTGGCACACGTCCCAAAGGCCGTCCAAAGAAGTCCTGGTCGCAAACAATCAAGCAAGACATGAAAGCTCTAAATTTAAATGAAATGGATACAACTGTTCGTCTAATTTGGCGCAAAAAGTTGATGGCAAAGAAAACAACGTCCTACCTCTGAAAACCGGGTCTCTGGACGCAAAACGAAGATTGATTGATTGATCATCATCATCATCTTAGCATTCCATCATCATCATCGTCGTCATCACCATTGTTATCACCATCATTATCAGCATCGTTATTATCAAATTCATCACCACTACATCACAATCACCAAATGTGATACTTTTTTACTTTTTTCATTATCTTGTTTACCACCATCGCCAAAAAATTCGACATTTTTTTCATCGTCATTATCATCGTCATCAACGTTAATATTAGCATTATTACCATCATCATCACCGTCCCCATCGTATTCATCATCATCATCAGCAACGGTACCATTACCATTACTAATATCATCATCATCCTGAACTGTACGATCATCACCATTCTCATCATTGTCGTCGTCTTCGTCACCATCATTTTCACGGTTGAATGTTTGTTAGGGCGGCAGGTTGAACTTCATTGGCCGGAGATCAATAAATGTATCAACGCCGGTAACACGGCTTCCCCTGTGGTTAGGAAAGAAAGATGCAAAAACATTATTATTATTATTATTTTTATTATTATTATTATTACTATTATTATTATTACTATTATCAGTATTACTGTGTTACTGCTGCCACTGCATCATTGTGGATGTACCTTGCGTCAGTTTAGTGTGCTTGTTTTGAGATTTGCTACTGCAGTGTGGTTGCTGTGTGTGTGTGTGTGATCTTTGTGTGTGAAATTGTTGTGTTGTGTGTTTGTTTGTGTGATAGTTGTGTGTGTGTGTGTGTGTGTGTGTTATTGCGTTGTGTTTTTGTATGTGTGATTGTTGTTTTGTGTGTGATCTCTGTGTGTGTGTGATTGTTGTGTAAGTGTGCGTGAGTGTGGTGTCGTGTAGTTGTAACGAACAAAAATCAGAAATGTATGTTAACCAGCAAAAACTTATTAGGCATAAAAAAATATATTGTGGACCAAACCCATCACGAGTTATCTGTCATAGCATACTACATTTTTTTAATCAGGTTGTATTAGTCTTATTACCATTATTTAAGTTATTATTTTTATAAATAGTAATATTGGTAAGTGAGGTTAGCAATTGCAGTAGTAACGTCAGTAGCTGCAGCAGCAATGGAAGCAGAAGTAATAGTGGCAGTAGTAACATAAGCAGTAACAAAAAGAGTACAACAACAACAACAACACCATCAACAAACCTGCAACGCTGAGTTTCGGATCGTGCAACTTCCTTCTCAAGAAATCATCCAACATGAACCGCATCTCCTTCATCAAGACTCCTATTTTGGCGGGTGCCTGTTCAAATATTCGGAAAGGTCTCAGAAACTCAAAATTAATCTTTCTTAGTTGCAAATTTCAAGTCCTGCGATGAGTCTTTCAGACAGGCAGAGGCAGTATTGTAATCAAGTCAGTGTAAAACAACAAAACAATGAAATATCTATTGCAACAACTACTGAACAAAAAAAGTTATAAAAAATCATGATAGCGGGGCAAAATCGCATACACCAATCAATGCGATAAAAATTATTGCGATTGCTACAACATTATTCGTAACATTTAATTAACCCTAGAAGTTCAATTAAGAATCCACAAGTTTAATTCAACTAATTTTTTGGTTTCCTTAATAAATCGAATGACCAGCGATGTCTAGAACAATTTACCTTTGTGAATTATTTTTTAGATTTTTTCGACTATTTTGACTATTTCTATTTATTAGTATCGATGCACCACAATCATGACAGTCGTCGTCAACGCAACAACGATTAGCAGTGACGAGGTTCGATTAAACATAAGTGACCTCTGACCTTAGACATACTAACATTTAACATGTGTTGCCGATGGCTCTGTATTGTATACAAGATACACATGTGTTGCAACCAACCTTAAAGGCGATCAAATCTTCAACACTTTCCACAGTGAGAAGGTGCTGCTGATGTTGAACCTCAATGTTGCCAGCGAACAGCAGCACTGCAACACTGCTCACCAGCGTCGTGTCTCGAAGAGCGATTTGTTGCGACAACTTCTCCTAAGGAAAATTTTCAATATCCATGCGTACACATCTTGCACGCAGTTTTGTATTTTTAACTTCTATTGATTTATTTAATTAAATCTACTAACACTGGATATGATTTAAAAAAGATTCTTTAGCAAATAAAACATAAAAACCAATTAAAATCATCAAATAAACCCTTCTTTCATAAAAACGCAAACCAAAGCACACACAGACATACACACACAGACGCTAAAACATTATAAATAACCGACAAAAACCTTATCTTGATAAACAATCCATCCATCAGCATCCAACTTCCTGTTGACGGAACCAGGGTGAATGATGGCTTGAATTCCCCCAGCCAGGTTCACCTCCCTTCCCAAACCTCGCTTCTTCCCGCCAAAGTTTCTATCGACCGTCTGCAACCTCCCAATCTGAGGGTAAAGACCCGCCATGAGAACTGCCTTGAGCAAGGTCACCGTGACCTTGCTTTGGAGTAGGGATGTGCGAGGTTGTAGATATTTCGTTAGGGATGGGTGGTCGGTACAAAGGTCGGTTATGTTTGTCTCCAGGTTGGAATCTCGAATCAGTTGTCGAAGTTCTCGAGATGTTGACTGAATGCGCGCGAATGTTATTCATCAGATGAAGGGAGAATAAAAAACATAAAAAAAAAGGTTCAACGATTTCAAAGAAACAACGCAACAACGTCATTCACGTGTGTCGTAGTCGTCATTATCAATCACCATCATCACCTTAATCATCATTATCATCGCTATAGATAACCTTAATATTATCAACATCTTCGTCATCATCATCACCATCATCGTACCTCAATATCTTGCAGTACTTCCATCTTGAGACCATACTTCCTACAGTAATCCTTCCTCTCCGTCCTTTTCGATATCTCCATCCATCTTGAAAGTACAAAGTAATTAACAATACTCTGCGACACCAATAATTCCCGATACGACATTTTGCAATACGATTCTGGATTGAACTTCAACAACTCTCCGCAAACAAGCACAAATACGAACAAGCAATGGAAAAAACAACGAATCATGTACATACGTACATAATTAGACATCGGGTTTCACACATCAAGATATGCGCTACACATAGAATGATCTGAACGTATTGAAACCGAAACAAACTCTCTGACGGCAGTGTAGACAGCCAACTGGTCGGAATCCTCAGAGTTGAACCTCGCCTTCCCCTGACAATCCGATGCAGATGGAGAAGATGCCGAAGATTCCAGCCGACTGATGAATGGAGATTTCTCCGTCATACAGGCAACCAAGATTGACTGCATGATGAATTCGAGGATGAGTAGATGGATGGATGGAAAGATGGATGGAAAGATGGATGGAAAGATGGATGGAAAGATGGATGGATGGATGGATGGATGGATAGATGGACAAATAAATGAATATAAAAACAAATGCATCAATAAATGTATGAATGAATGAATAAATTGGATGCGCAAATGAACATTTGAGAAAGAAAATTCATGCAACACTGGATAAATGAATGGATCAAACACGCACGGACTCATTAAAATATGCACATGTCTGTATATATTCTGATTTTATTGGTTAAAAAGTGAAACATTGAAAATAATAATGATCAAATTACCATAAACAATGTGAAGGTTACTTTTCGTACAATAGATTAACAAATTTTAGAAGATGAATTTATACCTAACATCGTCAACAGGATCGATAAAATACCGCCCCCACCATCCAGCACGCCACCACCTCCACCGTAATTAAAACCACCCTCCACATCATCACCAGTCACCAACCAGTCAGCATCACCGCAATTGAGCAGCACAACTCAACCAACTGACCGCTTCGTGCAAACATCCCAGCACACCAGCGTAGACCATCATCTTCCCTAGCTTGGCGTCCAGGGGCAGCCTGGCCAAATGATGACCGAGGGGAGTGAGGGACAGTCCCTCGCAGGCCCCCGCCTCCCTCAATATCGACATGGCGACGTTGATCGCCTGTGGGTCCGGTGGGTCGATCGCTTTCGAAAGGAATCCGTTTGGAGGTTCTGAATAACTTTTCTGCGTGGCAAGATGGTGTGTGTGTGTGTGTGAGCGAGTGTGTGTTAATGAAAGAGAGAGAGAGAAAGAGAAAAAGAGAGACAAAGTACATATAAGGAAAAGGTGTGTGTGCGTGTGTGTGTGTAAATTATGTCATAATGTGTAGATGGATGATTTTAAATGTATAACGGTATTTAAAAATGATCCCACAAATGAAAATTGAGTGATTGTTACAATGCAACATAACCCGACAAATGACAAAATGCATCAAGATTATGTAAACAAATGTACAAAAGCTAATAATAACAACGGAGGAATCAATGGAAATGAAGACAAACCATGACATGAAGACACAACCCCTGAAGCGGAACTCGTTTAATTTCCGGCATACTATGTTGACTCATGACGTCAAACTGACCGGAAGTATAGAGACGTACACAAACGCCCTCCCTCACTCTGCCTGCACGTCCTTGACGCTGGCGGGCACTGGCTTTGCTGATCCAGATTTGACGCAGTTGGCTAATGCGATGGGAGTCCAAGTATCTGTTTGGTGAGTTGAAACAGGCGTGAACTTGTGCGTGTGTGCATGCGTGTATGTGTGCGTACGTGTATGTACTGTGTACATGTGTACATATTTATGTACGATTTTAGTGGAGATGCATTCGGAAATATCCGTTGTATAATCATATTGATGTTGTGTGTGGACTACGATGATGAACATCATCATTATCGACAAAACAGGCTACGAAATCTTAAAAGGCACGAGGAACTCTGGATAGAGTGACACGTAAAAGATAAACTAGCGATATGTGACAAAATGTCAAAGTCAAACCACACCAAAATTATTAAATTCTTTTATATTATCGCCTAGCTCCAATACAATCATCACCATCATCAGCTTTGGCATTATGCGTTTACACCATCAGCTCCATCATCTTCCTCGCCATCATCATCATTATCATCAGCAGCACTCTCACTAATACCACCACAACCAGCACCACCAAGAAGAACAGCCACCTCATCTGCTTCTCCCAGCCACAATCGATCACGTAGACCACATCGGGAATGGTGACTCCAGTTTCAGCGATGTTCGTCGACAGGATGACCTTCCTGATCCCATATTTGGCCGGATTGAAAGCCAGAGATTGGTCGGATGATGACAGGATTGAGTGCAAGGGTAGGACGAGAAACCTTCAAATATTTTTCAATTATTTAAACATAATCCAACATTTTTATACCGTTGTTGCAATTATTATTATTTATATTACTGAATCCTAGAGGTAAAAAGTGCTTGCTTGTTGAGCAGCATGTGTACGGGTTCTACTGCAATTAAATCCCTATCTGTCGTAAGCCTGCATGATGCGTTGACCTCACACACGCGCATACGTGTATGTCGCTTCTTGCACTACTCACAAAGCGCTATATAAATGCAAAATTACGTTAACATTGTTATTGGAAACTGAATATTAGCACTATTTGTTACTCAATTAATTAAATTAATAAACAAAAACTATAGAGAATCAGAAAATAAAAACCCAAATGACCTATCTGGGTCGCTGAAAAGTGGGTCAGACAACATGCTGTCCTTGACCTCTTCAATGGCCGCCATGCCGGGTAGGAACACTAGCACTGCCCCTTCTTTTCCACATATCCCATCATCATTATTATTATTATTATTTTTATTATTTTTCGGCCCATTTAGCCACCTGACAGTTTCGAGAATTAGGTCAACATTAATGACGTCACAGTTTAATCGCGTGACCATGTTTCTCGTTCGGAGGCTGAATTGATTCGGGTCCAGAGATGACTGGAGATGATGGTGATGATATGATGATAGTAGGACGTATTAAAGGAAGAAGATGATGATGGTGATGGTGCAAAAGATGATGTAGCGATATAACGTAGTAAAGATGTAACCGTACATAATAATTATCGCACTAATAATGAACGATTGAAACATCAACGAATATAACAACTTATAGTAATAATAAAAACAACAACAATAATAATAAAAACAATAATAATTATAACAGCAATAATATAAATAATAATAAGCAGACCCAATCAAGCTTGTGAATGTCATCCTTAGACCACTGGACCTCTAACGTTTTGGATGCCCCATATTTATCTGTGACCTTTACCTTCGTTGTTTGCTCCTATAAAAAACATCAGCAACATACAAACACACCTATAAACAAACACGCGCGCACACGCGCGCACACACCAGATATTCACCTGAACAAGATATTCATATGGTAGAGCGTATGTTGAATCAATCTCTAATTGATATCCTGTCCGCTCAATTATATCTTCCAAGTGCAACACCTATAAAATTTTATTGTCAATTATCATCATAAATATTATATTTATTAATATCATGATAAAAGCAAGCAAAATTATAACGAGTCACTCGTCAAAACATCTTGAATGCATTTATCATTTATTCATAATAATTATCAACCATATTTGGCGAATGTCAATCTATTTACACTATAAATTCTCTCAAATGGATCATTCATATTTTAATCTCATATTTATTAACATCACTTCATCACCATCGTCATCGCCATCACCACCATCGTCATCATCATCATCACCATCGTCATCATCATCACCACGTCATCACCAGTCATCATCACCACTATCCTCACCTGGACAGGAAATGACCTGCCTTCGACGCGGACGACGGAGCAGCCCTTGAAGTACTTGTGGAACTTGTCGCTGTCCATCGTTGCACTCATCAGAACGACCTGCAAGTTGGTTAGTAGTGAGTGAGTGCATGTCGTAGAAGTTATTTCTATTTATTTTATCTAATTTGTGACAATAATTTATTTAACTCAATTCAAATCAATTTTATTCAACCAGTGTGAACAAACTGACAAATACACAAGAAAAAATTAACTAATAACATCCGACCATTTTAACGAAAAACTGAAAATAATAAAAAAATTTTCAAAACAACACGAATTCCTACCTTCAACTTTGACCTTTTCTTGTTCGAGGTCAACATTTCCAGAAGATGGATTAGCAGAACATCAGTATTTAGATCACGCTCATGCACCTTGCGAATTTAGTTATAAATTATCAAACCTTAAATTCTTCAACAAATCTTGAAAATTTAATTAATTATATATGCTTTGAATCCTTCGATGGTTGGGAGAATCTTTATGCCCCGACTCATATGATGAGATAACTGCACACACACACACACACACACACACACCTTACATTTACAATCATGCTCGTTTTTACATTCTCTTAGTACCTTAAGCGTTCAATATATGAAGCCATCATGAAATGCTTAACTCAACAAATAGTCACAACATCAAACTAAAACTCATAAAAAGTAAATAAATAGACAAACAGCGGCCAGCACCAGTGGCATATTAATGTTCGACGTGTTCACGAAACCACATAGTACCACACCATAATATCATCAGCCACTTCGCTCTTCATTAAACGGCTCGGACGAACTAAGGGTTGTCCTACAATCTATTGTTTGCTTAGGCGCAATTAAAATTTGGAACCACAAAATCTGTACTGTAACTCGACACCACACAACGTTCACATGCATTTGTATCGCACCATGCACAACAAGAGTATGCATGATGCAATCCTCGTATGAGTTTCAGACAGAAAAAATTCGATTGGGTCAGCGCCCAATAACAATGAGGGCATTCCAACCGTCTGAGCTACCTCACCAGCCAACCAACCAACCAACCAACCAACCAGCCAACCAACCAACCAGCCAGCCAGCCAGCCAGCCAGCCAACCAACAAAACAGCCAGCCAACCAGCATAGCACCAACCAGCCAACCAACCAACCAACCAACCAACCAGCCAACCAACCAACCAACCAGCCAGCCAGCCAGTCAACCAGCATAGCACCAACCAGCCAACCAACCAACCAACCAACCAGCCAACTAGCATAGCACCAACCAGCCAACCAACCAACCAACCAGCCAGCCAACCAACCAACCAGCCAACCAACCAACCAGCCAGCCAGCCAACCAACAAACCAGCCAGCCAACCAGCATAGCACCAACCAGCCAACCAACCAACCAACCAACCAACCAGCCAGCCAGCCAACCAGCATAGCACCAACCAGCCAACCAACCAACCAACCAACCAGCCAACCAGCATAGCACCAACCAGCCAACCAGCCAACCGACCAGCCAACCGACCAGCCAGCCAGCCAACCAACCAGCCAACCTCATCGACAATGACACATCCGACATCTTCGACGCACAGATCTTCTTGCAGCCTCCTCAACAGCACGCCTGTCGTGCAGAACAACAACCTCGTGTCACGTGACCTCTTCACCTCTGACCTTCAAGTTAATTAATTAAAGTCTTCCATGCAAACGGACCACTCTCATATTTTTAATATTTATTTTGAATATTTCATCCAAAGATCAAGAAACATCAAACGATTTTGCAATGATAATACAAGAAAATGTAAATATGAAAATAATTGACCATAAAAACCGTTAAAGCCAATGTTCATTAAAAAATACGTTACTATATATGTACATCGTTGGATGGTTAAAAATGAAATAGTTCAACAGAGAATCTTTTCAGCTTAATTGCTTTGAAAATATCTGTCAGTTTAAAGAATAACTTGCCATAAAGATCGTGCAATAAAAACATGGCCTAATGGTTGAAGGAGTCTGCAATAACCAGTATTTTTTATCATTTAAGCCTAGTCGTGATCCAGGCTGATGAAGTGTCTGGGCCCAAAAAATGTAAAATGGATCTTAAAAAAACAAACACTATCGTATTTGCTGATTCCCTCCGAAAATTCCTCAGGTGAGAGCGTAATAAATAAAGTCAAACCTGATTTGATATCCACAAAGGGATCCGAAAGATCCAGGGCCATCCACTTCCCCCATCTCGGCACACACCCTCCTTGCCAAGCTGACTGCCGATATTCTTCGAGGTTCAGTGCATATGATGGTCGGTGGGAGCGGTGAGGATGGTGACCAAGATGATGAGGATGATAGCAATTCCTGTAATAATTTGTCTTGGTTAATTCGTGCTGGAAATAAATTTAATGAGAAAGAGAAATGTCCTTAGATGGCCGCTCACAGAAAACAAACCAAATTTTAAAACCAGATTTTGAATCAGCTGATAAATTTTGAATCAACAGTTAGATTTTGAATCAACTGATAAATTTTGAATCAACTGATAGATAGATAGTCAGACGAGACTAAACTGTTTATGAAATTTATGAAAATGAAGATGACGATTAAAATAATAAGGGGATGAGTAAAATGAAGAAGATTGAGTAAACAAAATGACATTCAAGATGTAGAAAAACTATAAAGGAAACGAAAATGAATGTACCTCCAAAATGAACTGAGGCACTTGAGTACTTTTTCCACTTCCTGTTTCGCCAGCAACAATGAAGACGTCGTAATTTCTAAACGTATCTATGATCTTTTGTCTGTAGTTGTAAACAGGAAGTGATTCACGATCTTTTTTTAAGATTGCGTATGATTTGTTTGTTTCATTTTTGGTTTTAATGTCGATGGATCTTTTAATTAAATCTGAAAAATTTCTATTTAGAGGTTGATGATGATGGCTTTTATTAAGCTTCTCGGCATCTAAGGCATCCTTAAAAATTAAAAAAAATTTAATTTGATTAAAAAAATAATTATGAAATAAAGGAATATATAACAAAGTATCCTGTTTCATAAAATTAATAATTTAATTATTTGATAAAAAAATTTTTAGATTCTATTAACGTTTTCCTCTGCGGTCCAATTTTCCCAATCTCCACCATATTCAGCACCACCATCAGTATTCTTCTTCACATCCCCACCATCTTTGTTGCTAGCGTAAACGCCGCCACCCGATGACTTCGATAGTTGGCTGAAAAACTTTTCTATGAAATCATCTCTAGGCTGCCGAAAAAAAAATTTCATACAAACATAATGTGAAATTCAAAAAATTTTCTTAAATTTTTTAACCACTCAAAAATTCAATAAATAAAATTAATAAACTCATTCCAATTGAATAATATTCTACCGAAAAAATCAAAAACTTTCAAAGTAAAAACCAAAAAAACAAGACATACCTTCTTGTCTTCTTGTTTAATATTTTGGACTTGTTCCCTTTCATTCCTCTGCCACTCCAACCAGATATCCCTGTACGGTGGGGGGAGTAGGAGGTGCAAATCCTAATGGATTGATGGATTGGATGTTCATTTTCTCATTCATTCATAATTTCGTCAAATTGTTTGTTTGTTCGTTCGTATATTTATTTATCCATTTGTTTGTCCGTTGTATGTCCATTCACTTGTTTGTTTGTTTGTTTGTATGTTTGTTATTTAATGAGTTTATTAAGGACGCTCAGTTATTCTAGCCAATGAGTTGAAAGGTTATGCCGTTAGAACAACTCCAGACATGCTCTTTTGTGTTGTTCATAGTGCTGTGAGGTCTCACATATTAATATTTGTGAAATAACAAAATAAAATAAATGAATAAATAGTTTCCTTTATTTTGATAGACAAGCGTGAAATACAGGATGCAAAAAAAAGAAATTTTATCTTTTCACAAAAAATCGCCCAAACTAATTTAACACATCTGCCTTACTTGAGGCATCAACAAATAAATATTCCCTTAACATTTGAAAAACTGACCAAACGAGCAAGACCACCAACAAGGCATTTACAAAAATAACAGTAACGACACATCGTTGAAACTCAAGTGAGACCTTGTTGGAGCAGAGTTGATAGAGCAGCAGGACACTCGCCAGATGTTCGGCGTCCTTCAAATTCGTGCATGCAATCTCGGGACACACAACCACATCTCCGCCCTCCTTTGGCGGTCGTTTCAAGTGACACCTGGCGATATTTTTGGAATTATTAAGCAAGGAACTAATTAAACATGGCTTGACAGCAATTTTCATAAAATTCCTACATAAGCGATCTAGCAAACAAAATTTTCAAATGAAACATTTTAGCAGGCAGACCATATAGTAAAGAAGTTTAAAATAATGTCTGATGGATGTTATTTGATAGTGGTAGAAATATTAGAGCATATAAAAAGAAAAAACTATTTCTAGAAATCTGTTCTGCACATAAAACAAATAAACTACTGTCACCATAACATATTGCCAGTTCACTCGACAACCAATCAACAATGTCTTTCTCTGACCTTGACTTCCACTTGCCCCCTCCAAGGTCAATCTTCTCATAGGTCACTTGACCTTTCGGCACTCTCTTTCGGTACCAGTCGTTGAGGAATTGTTTGGGAGACTTGCCTTAGCAGTACAGATTGATGGATGGGTGATGAATGGATGGATGAATAGATTTGAGGATAGATGAATGTATGGATGAGTTATTATATAATAATAGATAAATAGATAAATGGTTGAATTGTGGATAAATAGGTGAGTGGATGGATAAAAGGAAATAAGGTAGAATGAAAGATATTACTTAAACAATAAATCATTTAAATCATTAAAAACGAAATACCAAAATTATCATCAGACGTTGATGTACAAAAATAACTACACAACCTACACAAATCGTTATATAAATTTAATCAATAGAAAGTGCAAAGATTTTTAATGCCAAAATCTGTTTTCCAATTTCTAGAAGCCTGATTCTGAGTGACAGAACTGCTTAACAGAAGAATAAAGCAGCAGAAAATCATGCTATATATAAATTTCCAAAAATGTACATCTCCACACCTGTCCATTGCTGTCGTGTGTATGTGAAGTCTCGGACATCCAGAACTTTTCGCGCCTCTTTCGTTTGTTGGGCGCTTGGTGCTGCTGCTGGCGGGTATTAGAGTATTGGTGGATGAAAAATGGCCTACAAATAAGTCGGCATCAAATTTGAAATGAATTTAAATTGAAAAATATTTCATTAAACCTATTTAATCTAACTACATTCTGAACAACATTCGAACAAATGTTCCATGTCTCACACATGAAAATAGTTCAATAGATAAAAGACAATATATAAAAATTAAAATGAGAAAAAAGACTACACCGACGCAAAATCAATTTCATATTATTCAGTCAAGTGAACAAGACGAGTTTGAAAACATTTTTTTCTTAAATAATTCAAATCATAACTACGATAATAGTTAATTGCAACGACAAGGACATACAAATGTACATACTATTTATTGTTGGGTCTTTGTTGACGTCATTATTTCCACCACCGCCATCATCATCATCGCCAAAGAGATTCATGACTCCTTCGTCAACGTCATCATCTTCATTATCGCCATCGTCCATCAGTTTCTTGACAGATTTCTTCTTGCAGTTTATAATCTTCATAATTTCGGCCAATTCTTTGTTAGTGTTGATTAATTCACAGTTTCTCGAATCGAAACCCGGCATGCTCTGAAGTTTCCACAGTTCTAACCAAAGGAGAAGTACAGTCATTAGAAAAATTATTATGAAAATAAAATTAAATGGCTGACCCGATGATGTAACAGTTGAAGCACTGAGTACTACTATTGTAGAACTAAGTAACTAAGAACTAAGTAATAAAAATAATTATTAGTAATTACATTAGTGCTAACAAAACTGCTCAGAATGTGAGTGCAAAAATGATGGAAGTAAAATTACAGACAAGTGACCATTTACAATTTATATCATCATCAACAACAAAAACGTCATCATCGTCGTCCCCATCACCATCATCATCGTCATCATCATCATAACCGCATTATTACCGTTGGCCAGATTTCGACACTCATTGAGTCTGTCTGTATCTTGGTCATCATCGTTATCAGGGCTGAATTGACTTCTTAAATCAAAAAACATGGCAACCATCTTTAAGAATGATTCATTCTATTGGGTTTATATAAATAAATAATAATAATAATATTATTATTATTAGTAGTATTATATTTATTATTATTATTGTTGTTGTTATTATTATTATTATTATTATTATTTCTTTTTTTATTTCGGTTTTGTTAGAATACGTAGAATACGCTTTTATAATTTTTTTTTGTTTTTCTTTACCTAAATCATTTTTGATTTATTATTATTATTATTTATTTATTTATCTTATAATTATTTTACGTTATACAATATTTAATTTTAACATTTTATTGACATATTTTATTTTGACTATTTTTGATTTTACTGGTTTTTTCTGAATAATAAAAGAGTTTACATTATTATTATTATTATTATTATTATATCGTATACGGAAACACTGTCGAGATTTTTGAACTCACTGTTTGTCAAGAAACCAATTTGGCCAAATTCAAAGGCTTTCGAGACCGACAAATATAAAGACACTCTTTGAGTAAACCTTAACGACAGGTTTAAGCAATGTAATCTAATTAAAAAAACTTCTGAAATGCCATCAATAAGACTTTTTAATAGATTCAATTTGTATTTTTTCATTATTCCATGGACTGATCCTTTTTTTTTTACAAACGATTTAATTTTGTCGGCAATAACATCAACATTTAAGCTGATGATTTGTGTTTATTTGAAATTTTAAAAATCGCTATCATAAACAATGACATATTATTATTATTATCTTTTTTTATTGTTCTAAAAAAAACTTATTACTTCAACACTTTTAACATTTCAGTAACTCAACATCATTGATTTTATTATAGACAATTGAGATAAATATTCCTTTCATTGTATGCTTTATATGATACTTGATTGAATAAAAGATGTGCTCCCATTATTGTTAAAATTGTTGTATTGTTATTATCATTTATTATTATTATTATCATCATTATTATCACCATATTATCATCATCGATATAATATAACTTCCAACATCTTTGATAACATGTGCATTTATATACAATAGCTATAATGTAATGATATAATTTATATCATATTCTTGTTACAAAATACTCAAACTACATTCAGTTTTGCACAGAAAAACTAACAACTCCTTTGCTTTTTGTTCCGGTATCACTATCATCACGACGATTGTCATCATCATCATCATCCGCAGCACCACATCCATTGTGATCATAACCATCATCATCATCATCATCATGGTTACTGGTGGCATCAGCATACTGTAGTATCCAGTTCTTCACGCTCGACTCATTTTTCTGGATAATTTTAAATAAAAATAACAATGATAATAATAATTATTAATAATTATTATAATAAATATATAAAATTTAAAAAGAGTAAAATAAAAATTTTTATTATGAAATTTAACTGTCGCGGGTATCATAAAAAAGAAAGCAATCACTGAAATAGTTCACATAAAACAATAATATTAGAAAAGTAATATTTATTATAACTAATAATAAAAAAATTAAATCAATATAATCAATCAATCAATCAATTAGTTTATAAGCGCTATTTCCGCAATGTTCAACAGCACTCCTCAATGAATTTTGCAAACAGATGGGTCTTGAGATCCGCTCTGAACTTCGTAAGTGATGGAGAAGTAGTCAGAGAAGGTTGTAGAGAGTTCCAGAGAAAAGGGCCAGAAAAAGTAAAAGAAGATTTAGCAAAAGAAGTGAGAACAAGAAGACGATCATAAACCGGGGCGTTTAGGTTCAATTAATATATCTGATAAGTACTTGGGGAATAATTTCGATTGAGACTTAAACATTAATGGGTAAATTTTGAAAATTATTCTATATTTTATAGGTAGCCAGTGCAAGAGAACAAGATATAGAAATATATAAATAAAAAAGGGGCACGAGCAACTAGACGAGTTAAAAGCTTTACTTAAAGGATAGAGTATAGAATCAGGAAGACCATAGTAGAGCGAGTTACAATAATCAATCCTAGATAAGACTAAAGAAGTAACAAGAAGGAGAAGAGTAGGATCATCAAAAAAGGCAAATTTTTTTATTCTATGTAGTGAAAGTTAGAACTTCTAGCAGCACTAAAAATAGAAAATTAAATAAAAATTATAAACAATAATAATGAGAACAACAAAACCAAAAAACAACAACAAAATCATTAATGACACACACACACAAACAAAAAAACTAATAAACACGTACACATACACATTCACACACACACACACACACACACACACACACACACACACACACACACACACGCACGCACATATCTTTATATCTGCTAATAAGATACCCGTTTTGCTAGATTGGAAGATTTGATTTCAGATGTTGTTAATTTTGATGTGACATTATTTTTACTCATACTTTTATCCATATTACCCCTGCCCTGTTCACTTTCATTGCCAATAAATTTAGGTCTAGTTTTCTTTTCTTCTTTCTTTAGAACTTGACTAAAATTATCAGGTAGGTCTTCTGAAAAATAAAATTGAATTAATAAAAAATTAATTATAATTAATTGAATAAAAATTTTCACCATCTTTGGTATTGAGGCACAACCAGTCAAGTGCTGATACGAGATTTCCGCCAATTGGAATGCAAAACTTCATGCACAATTCTATGGATTCCTTTTTGAAACCTGCCTCTGACAAACTGTCATAAAATTCCTGAAGAATGACAGAAAGAAAATAATACTTTTACATGAATTCAAGCTATAAAGAGAACTTTTATGAAGATTTAAAATTATAATGAATATTTTAAGAGTTGAAAAAACGTACCGTTAGTTTTCTTTTTGTCAGGCGATAAGAAATTTTTGTGACAGCAGATTTTTTAGTTTCGTAATGTCTTTTAATCATGTTTGTAATCTCCAACTCCAACTTAGGCTCAATAAATATTTTTGGTAGGTTACTAACATCAGTTTTTGCTTTAGTTGCAGTTTCATGTTTCTTAACGTCTAGGTTTTTTCCTGAATTTATCAACAAAAACCACTAATCATTAATCATCAATAACATCAACTAGACTGTAGTTAGGAATTAGAAGTGAAAAAAGCATCAATTGGTTTATACTTTCCAGTTCTGTTAAAGAGTTAAATCTTATTATAAATAAGTAAAATGACCAATGTTTTAATGATTGTTTTAAATTTAGAAAAGTATGTTTTGTGTTATGCATGATTATTGATTCTTTATCTTTTTTGTGCTCTATCTTTTCATGACAATGGCAACCATCGACTTCCACAAAACCGATCTTCAACACTTTGTACTTTGTAGTAATTGAAATGTGGTGATATTCAACAAGTGACACAAGGACTTCAAGAATGTCATTTGTTTGTTGACCACGATTTCTATCCCCTGTAAGTTTTCCAGTAATTGTTAAATTTTCCATTCTTTCCTTCCGCATGATGTGACCAAAAGACTACCCGCATCAGATTATTTATGGTAATTTCCCCTTTTCATAACCGACCGTTTTAAAAAAAATCCTCATTCGAAGTATGAGAGGTCTAACTAACATTGATTATTTATTATGATGTTTTATTTTATGTTATATAATAAAGTTAAGAATGTTAAGCTTAAGATGCATTTTGTTTTTGTCATATATATAGTAAATTTTTCTAGACTATCTAGAGAGATATTTAGAACATAGTAAAGTTTATTAATTTAAAAAATAAATTATTTTTTAATAATAAAATTAAAATTAATTATTTTATATTACCAACCAACTTTCGCCTTGACATCTTTTTTGGTTTTCGAACTCATCACTGAAATGAAGTTGTGGAAATTTAATGAAACAATCACAGCCTCAAGTTAAAAATGCAAATATGAATTAAAATGTATGACGATCGATAAGCTAAAAAATTTGAGGAACTTCCTTTCAATGGCTTTCTTTAAATTAAAATTTAATTATTAAACGTTTAATTAAAGCCTAGAATTCTATAGCCAAAGCATGATTATTTTAAAAGTTAAAACTTATGTTAAATGTGCATTGAGATAATGAAAGCTATTGAAGCCGAAAGCTATTTAAACAGTTGGGGTGGGCAAACTAGGCCGCGAGGCCTTGTTCACCAAAGAAAATCTTAATCTTAAAAATCTCCCCCGGGTCTTGCTCATGGTCTTGCTATTTAAGTACATATGCGGCCCTTCAAAGGTAAAATAGTTCTTAATGCGGCCTTCACAGCAAAAAGTTTGCCCACCCCTGACTTACAACGTACGTAGGTTTACATAGTGTCTGAATGACAAACTGGCAAACACTAATGGTGACGTATATTTAATGCATAAAAATGAAAACTCTTTAACTTATTTTTCCAACAATAATTGTTACTTTCAAGATGAAGACCTTATATTCTTTATAGAGAACAAAATTACAGAGTTTCGAGTACAGGCCTTCTTTCGCCTAATTTGTTTCTCTCCATATGCTCAAAAATCAATTTGCATTTGCAATCTTCTCCACCAAACTCCTTCCTGCTAAATAATATTTTTAAGCCTTTTAACAATGATATAGAATTTTCAGTTTATTAAATACTTTTGACCTGACTTTTGTGCTTGCTGTTGTATCAATAATTTAATTGTTTTCTGAGAGGTGCTGATTTACGAAAGTTATTTCTTACTGTTTGCATTAAATGACTGGCATGATAACTACTAAAATCTTTTTTTCACTGACAAATGGCTTGGCTGTTTGCCACACACAACAGCTTATCTGCGACCTGAAATTTATCGATTAAATAAATATTATTAGAGTATATTTAAAAGGAACCAAAACATTTATACACGGTTTCAAAACGTGTTTAAATGTATGCGGTTGTCATCATTAAAAAATAATAACATCTTCATATATATGGAAACGGCTTTTCGTTGGGCTTCGTTGAGTTTTGTAACATTTTCAAAAATATGGTACATCTGCTTTTACAATTCGCAGTATAGTCGTTTATAAAGTTGAATATAATCACCATTTCTGAATACAATAGGCCTATTGTTTATGATTATAAGTTAGGAGTAATGTATAATTCAAGGGTGGGAAAACTTTTAGCTGTGAGGGCCGCATTGATATCTCTTTCCCACCCCTTAATTATAATTTATAAATAAATACACACAGCGAAGTAATTAAGAGTAAATGCATTGATTTTCCCTACCAGTTCTAGCATGGAGGGAGGCCACAAGTCAAATGGTGTTAAATATTGAGAAACTATGGTCAACATCGATGAAATCGTCGCCATTTTCAATTTACGACTTTTTCATTATTTTTATATCTCCGTTCTTTTCAAATTCAATTTCTATTTAAACGCTTTATATCTTTGGCGAAATTTTTTTCTAGGAGGTGCTGATTTACGAAATTTATTTCTCTCTGTTTGCATTAATTAAATGATTGGCATGAAAGCTACTAAAAAACATTTTGTTTCAGTTTATTCAACACAAAATTTTATTTACATATTGTTCGTAAAATAAATTTGCCCGATCAGTCAACTGAAACCGAACACCACCAATTTGTTTCAATTGCTAATTTTATAAAATAATAAAATCTGTCAACAGAGTAAATCTTAAATACGGTTAACGCAATTAAAATAGGTAAATGTTTTTGTAAAGTTGCCACAAAAATAAATTTGCTAATGTCAAAATCTACAATCTGTAAATTGTTAAGAACACTATGTACAAAAGTAGTAATACAGAAGAATAGAGATATACATGCATGCGTGTATATATAGTTTAAATAGCCATGGTTATGTATTTAAATTGTGAAAAATAAAAAAATATACGATTAGGATGAAATAGATGAAAAAAACTATAAGGCAGAGTCCAACTGAATACTTCAATGTTTATCATTCACTTATGTTTGTGTTGTTTTCATGTATTTTGGGTGATCTATTGTATTGTATGTATTGCAACGCATTTATCCAGGCATGTATTTGTGTGTTTATGTTTGTAGGTTTGTATGTATTTAGGAATTTGTGTGTGCGTATGTTTGTTTTTATGTGTGGTGACGTGTATATTAAAAATATATGTAAATATTTTTTTCTATGCCCACGATTATATATATATATTTATATATATATATATATATATATATATTAAATTATATATATATGTATATATATTTATAAGTCATTTTACCCTATCATGTGTTTACAACATCAAGATGGTTATTAACATTAACACTTTTACACACACACATCACACACACACCACAACACACACATCCCAACACACACATACACACACATACACACACACACACACACACAAGCATGCACACGCACGCACACACACGCGCACAACAAAGCACACATGTAAATGATAATAACGATAAAATTATACCAAAATAATTTAATGACAACGATATGATGGTAGGTGAGGTGATGATAATCACAATGATGATGACAATGAAAATATATTGATGAATACGGTGATGATAGAATGATAACGAAATGATGATGGTGATGAGGAATACGATGATGGTGGTTATATGTATTGCACTGAGGAAATGTTGGCTATCAGATGACAATGAAGATGATAATAATGATAATGAAAGAAGCAAAATGATGATAAAAGTGCTGCCGACGATAAGGTCATCAATAACGATGATGAAGACATTTAAAATGATGATGACAAATACAATAACAACATTTCATAATTAGAATGATATCATTAAAACATTTATGTAGCACTTGATACGCTATAAACATAATTTTCTTCAATATTTTGTGGTGTATTGATTTAGAATTTTATAATGCATTATCATTGATTATTTATTTGTCAGTTGTGATCATCCAGCATCATCACATGCTGTCCGTCCAGATGTTTCAATGTAATGCTCCTACTGTCAGTCCAAAATAAATGACTTACTATGGAAAATACTACCATAACATAATTTATTAACATTATTATTATTATATTATAATTAGTTTATTATTAGTAGTAGTAAATGTAGCAGTAGTAGTAGTGTTAGTAGTAGTGTTAGTAGTAGTAGTAGTAGTAGTAGTAGTAGTAGTAGTAGTAATGGTAGTAGTAGTAGTAATGCTGCAAATAATACCATTTGTATAATTATTTCTTTTGTCAGGACTATAAATTTTTTTATTCCTCGTTGCCTTCAATGATCAGATTGAGATAGTCCTGTTAAAAAAGTATGTACAGAAGGTTAATTTCAATTTCATTGTTATCGGCTTTGACAGTTTGGAAAGGGCGGTATTCGAACCAGGTCATGGCGCAACGACAACCACGCGAGCATTGGCACTTTTACTGTCTGAGCTAACTCACCAACATACTAAATACACCTCATTTAAAGTTTGTCTATAAATCATATATAGCCAACCAAAAACCTTCAACTCATCTCAAAAACATACAAATTTAAATGCAAAAAAGTAAATTAACCAAAAAAATTAAATTAAAAAGATGACAACTGGACAAACCTGGTTGATAAGACAGTTGAGTTTGCAGTGGAGTGAGGAAGCGATGGTAGAGAAGGAAGGTCTCACGAAGGGGTCATTGGCCCAACAGCTCAACATCAGGTCGTAACTGGAGGGCGAGGGGTGGTTTAATTTGGAGTTATTTTGTGTACGGGATGGATAAACGAATGGATGAACGGATGAAAAAATATTAAATAATTCAATCAAGGTTTGGATAGATAAACGATCGAATGGAAGGATAGATAGATTCATCAATTCGCTCATCCAACCAGCCAATCAACCAACCATTCATCCATTTATCCATCAATCCATCAATTTATTCATGCAAAAAAGTAAATTAAGCAACCAATCGATCAAACAAGCAATAAAACAATCAAACCAACAAACAAACAAACAAACAGACAGACAGACAAGTAAACAAACAAACAAACAAACAAACAAACGAACGAACGACATCACTTTCTCAATTGTCACCCAGACCACGCACAACTTACATGTCCTTGTTAGCGTACGGGGGCTTCTCCATCCGGTGACCTTGTCTGAGGAGGTCAAACAATTGTTCGATGGGCACTGAAGGGTAGGGGTTGCCACCGAACGTGAAAATTTCCCACAAAAGAATGCCATATGACCATCTGTGAGTTACGTAATAATCGTCATCATCGTCATCATCGTCATCATCGTCATCATCGTCATCAATTGTCTTCTCATTACCATCGTCGTCGTTATTATTATCATTTCATCATCTCATTTTCATCATTTTAGTATCATCATCTTTGTCGTCATCATCATCATTATCACTATTTCATCATTGTCACGAATCCACACATAGCAAACGTTCACCAACGTTTTAATTGTATGTTGTTGTGTGTATTGTTAACACATGCTGTGGGATTGTGTGTGTGTGTGTGTGCGCAGTTTGTATGTATGGTGCTTGTTTGTGTGTCTGTGTGTGTGTTCTTTTGTGTGTTGGTGTGTATGTTTGTGTGTGCTTTATTTATTTTTGCCATCGTTAGTTCGTTGGTTCAAATCCATTACAGTAATTTTTGAATTATTTTAAAATAAATTTTATTTGCCTAATATGGAGTAAAATAAAAAATTCGTATCAAATTTGAAAATTAGTTTTTGTTGATCGTGTTGAACTAAATCTGTCAGTTTCCATGATACTACTACTACTACTACTACCACTACCACTACCACTACCACTACTACTACTACTACTACCACTACCACTACCACTACTACTACTACCACTACTACTACTACTACTACTACTACTACTACTACTACTACTACTACTACTACTACTACTACTACTACTACTACTACTACTACTACTACTACTACTACTACTACTACTACTATTACTACTACCACTACTATTAATACTACTGCTGCTGCTGCTGCTACTACTACTTCTACTAACACATCACTCTTGGTTGAATACTTCATATCGAAGAGGGCCTCTGGAGCCATCCACTTGATGGGGAGTCTACCCTGTGGACAAATGGGGACGTATGTGTGTCCGTGTGAGTGAGTGCGTGCGTGTGTGTGTGTGTGTGTGTGGTGTGTGTGTGATGGTTATATGAAGAAAATTATGATAATCACGATGATATTGGTGAAGTGAATGATGTGAAGTGATGGTTATGGCAGCGTAATGAGTGAGTAGCATACTAATTAATTTTTTCGCCAATGCAACGTCTACAAAAAATGAAATCATTTCAGTTAAAGTTTGTTTGGACATTTTGAAAATTTTATGAAGAAGTTGCCTTGAATTATTTCATGGATATTTTTTTAAAATGTTTCAAAATTTTGATAAACAAATTTTTTAAACATAAAAAAACGGCAGAATACAAGACAGAAAACTTAAGCCCGTAATTGAAAATATTGCAAAAATATTAACGACAGAGCTATACAAATTTCCAAACAAGGACAAAAATGAAAAATATAAATAATGTGGTTGATGTTGTTGCTGTAATTATATTTGGTCTGAAAGACATTTCTAAAATTATCTTATATGTGCTTATGAGTTCAGTTTAAAAGCATTAGTCCAATGAAGAATGCGTGTGTAGTGCGTACTTCAATATTGGTTAACATTTTGGGATTGGTAAAAAAAATGATGATTTAGATATGAGATAGGAGATGTAATGTTTGGTGTCTAGAGCTCAAAATACGTGTGTTACAGTGTTTTGTTTCGATATCATAATCTAGTGGCATGTTTTGTTATCATCTTCTAGTATGATGTATGTACGTGTATCTGCTTAAAACTGTTGTGAATCACCACCTAAATCAAGTTCAATTTTAATTAAAAGTGACTGGCTAAAGAAGAAAGGACATTTAGAAAAGTAACTAATAAAATGACACTACTGTATCTTCGTCGTCATCTGTTTCATCACTATTCCGTAGTTAGCATTTATTTTCGTCGTTATCACCAAATCATTTTCGTTATCACCTTATTTCGTGAGTATTGTCTGTCGTCATCATAAAATTAGCAACAATGTCGATATCTCATAACTCAATTTTAATTTAATCAACTAGAAAAAAAATTAATTCGAAATCTATCTCGATAAAAAAATTCAAGACCATTTGATGTCAAGATCCAAAAATATGCCACAACAACAGCAGCAGCAACAACAACAAACTCAAAAGACATCAGTTAACATCCTAAATCTTTATAAACTACTAAATCGAAGACAACAATAACAGCAAAAAATAACGGGCATTAATGACAACAATAACAATAAAAACAAAAACAACATTAACAACAATAGACACTGCTCCAACATTACATACTACGCAACAGCAACACAATCAGAAATAACACAAACAGCACAAAACTACATATCGCCAGTTCCAGCACATTCGCGCGTGACAACAATATCAACAACCAACAACAGCAACAACAACAGCAACCAACAATAACAACAACCGCAACCAACAGCCAACAACAACCAACAACAACTGCCAAATAAAGACGTAATAAAAACATAACAAAAACAAGTCTTCTTAAAAGTTAAGCAGCGGAGAAAATTTCTAAAACATTAATATCATATCTTTGAGTGTTTCTAATTAAAATTAAAAGAATTACAAGAGACAAGTAGATGCTGCTCACATACATAAATAAATAAATAAGTTTAGTGGTACATACATTTCATATGTGTGTGAATATACAATTAAATATATATATATATTGTATATATATGTATATATATATATATTGTATATATATATATATATATGTTATATATATATATATATATATATATATGTTTTAGTGCCATAAACGTAAATAACTTCATCGTCGTTGCTGTCAACCAAGCGAAAATTCAACAGCCAATTAACTAAGGAAACAACAACAACAATAATAATAATTAAATACTAATAAATAAATAATAATAATAAAGAGAAGAATTATAATACGTATAATAGCACCAACCATCACAGACAAAAAAAATGATTTTTTTGGTATTTTTTTTAACTAATACATTTTTGTATTTTTCTATACAAAATTTTGTATTTGATTTATTTTTCTATGTGCATTTTCTGATGTGTTTTGCATTTTAGTTTTGTTTTTGCATGTTGTAAATTGTTTGGGAGACGTTGTAAAATGTCTTGGATAAGTTGTGATATTTCTCGTCAAACCTGTATTCGAAAGAAAACAAATATGGAAACGAAATAAACTTGGTTCTACACTCCTAATATTCATCCAAAAGGTCATGAACAGCTTGACATGACCTGACACTGTTGTTTCAAATTGAGCCAGGACAAGGCAATAATGCAAAGTAATGAGCGTAACGCAAATGCGTTATGAAATATTCCAACAAGTATACAATTAAAATAATTATAATTACGACAGCCTAAAAAAAAGACTTACAGACATGTTGCAACATACAAATAAAGGTATTAATAAAGTAATAAGTAATAAAGTAATAATAATAAAGTAATAAAGGTACACAATCACAGAAACAAACACACACACACACACACACCACACACACACACAAGGAAACAAACAAATGCACTTGCACGCACGCATAATCAATTAAAGTTTTTAAAAGATGAAAGGACGAAAAAAGTGTAAAAATTAATAGATGTACGTGGAAGAAATGAATGAATGAGTGAGTGGGCAAAGTTCAGCCTGACAGAATTATAATAAAAGACAGGAGTTGTTATGATGTTGCTTGGTTAGTCAGTGTCGTGACTTACTTTGTGACAGCTTGCTTGCATGTTTGTTTCTTCGTTTGTCTGTTTGTATTTTCGTTGGTTCGTTGGTTTGTTCGTTCATCATTACACAATCCTTATAATTTTTAACATCGTCAGCAGCTTCACTTTATTACAATCGTTAATAATGACAACATCGTTATCGTTGCACCCGACAGTAACTAATTATTTCTCAAGTCAACAGCTTCAAATCAAATTTTTTTTTAAGTTTCGTTCACCGTCCATCGTCTGCCAATCAAAACTCTCCAGAGCGTCATTACGTGAGTTTGAACGCCATCATCATCACCCCCGACAACAGAATCTTTCTCTTCATCTTCATCATCCTCTTCATCATCATTACAATCATCATCATTAACAATAAAATAGTCATCTTCATCACCGACAACTTGTCATCCTCATCATCATCTTCATCGGCAACACTAATTATTTCGAACAACAAGTTATCAGGACTAATGAGTAAATTATGTCACAGCGCGGAATACCACGTTGTTATATTTTTTTGTTAGTTTTTTAAATAGTGGTAACACAATTTGAAATACGGACGCTCATCTTGTTCAAGTGCATGCTGGCCCAACCATCTCAGAAATTATTATATTGAAATATTTTTCACCAAACAATCAATAAACTAATTTTCGTTCCACATCTCTCGGTGTGTAAAAATTTTTGTTTTCATTTAACAAACAAACAAGTGAACAAACGAACAAGCAAACACGCACGCACACACACAAAACCATTTCCTTGCAATTGAGGCTTATCCAAGTCAGTACCTCATAATTCAAGCAACAATATCACAGCCATTGCATCTTCCAGATCAAACGTAAAGAGAGAAACACATTTACGCAGGTGTTTAAGAGACGATGAACCGGAAGACAAACGAGTTCATTCTAAAACAACTTTAGTCTGTTTAGAATGACCTAAAGAGAGGAAATTAGATACTCCGAAGTTCCATAAAACAGAGAGTTGCATTAGTCAAGAGGCGAGATAACACAAGGCAGCGTGCTAGCGTGGTGGCCATTTCAATTGTGAGAAAAGGTCGAATGTGGCGAATAGACCAAATAAGAGCGGAAGTGTGAGCTTTGAATGTTAGAGACGGGTCAAGAGTAACACCTAGCAGTTTAAGTCTTGTTAATGTAGACAGGTTTGATCCAGCAATTGACACGTTGGAGGGTGGAAAATATTTCATGAGTTGCTGTGTTGTGCCAAAAAACATTATTTCAGATTTTTGGGAATTTAGTTAAAGAAAATTAAGTGAAGGCCAATCCTTTATTGATGAGACACAAGAGTTAAGTCTATCAAGTTGAGAAGACATATTTAGTTGAGAGATTTCAGATACCAAGATTTTACGGGAAATCGTCATAAACCAGAAAAGAATAACATAAAGATGGCTAACGAAGATATTATGTAATAATAAAATATTTTAATAAAATAAAAAATGATAAACAAAAATGAATAATGAAAATAAAATAATATAATGTAATACAATAATGCAAAATTAACTAATGGAGATGATTGTGGTTAAATTTTATTTCCATTGTGATACTTGCGCGACAAATTGCAAACCTTTAATAATAATTTCACACAACAACAACAACAACGTCACAACTATGTACCAACAGCATTTAATTAATGTTAAATATAGTAAAAAAAAACACCAAATAACCAAAAAGACAATAATATATATTAAATTAATGAGACTGAGACAATAACATTGTTGCAGCAACATAAAACCAATAAAGGTGAAAATGATGCCGTAATATAATTTTACATCAACAACACATCAATAGCATTACAATAACGTTACCAATGAATCAACATTAACAACAAACAACAACAGAAAACAACAAAAATATGAAAACAACATAACGCCAACAATGCAACAACAACGAAACAACATGACATCAACATAACAACAACAACACCAGCAGCAACAATAATAACAGCAGCAGCAACAACAACAGCAACAACAACATCACCATCAACAACAACAACAACTCACACTGGTTGTCTTCCTGTAATAATCGTTATTAGGAATGTTCCTTGTTAGACCAAAATCACAAATCTTCAACAAGCCCCTCTCTACGACTAGCACATTGCGGGCTGCCAAATCTCTGTGTATGCACTGTTAATGTTGTTATGGTTGTGTTGTGGTTGTGTTGTTGTTTTTGTTGCTTTTGTTGTTGTTATTGATGGTGGTGTTGTTGTTGTTGTTGTGTTGTTGTTGTTATTGATAGTGGTGTTGTTGGTGCTGTTATTTTGTTGTTGTTGTAGTGTTGTTGTTTTTGTAGTGTTGTTGATATTGTTGTTGTTGTTATGGTTCGTTGTTGTTGTTGTTGATATGACGTCATTTTCAAGTTGATGCGATGTTATTTGCGTCGCTTTTTTGTTGTCATGCTAACGTTAATGTCATGCAAATTTTGTTGTTTTTAAGATGACGTTAATGTCGCTGTTATTTTATTTATTATTGTTGATGTCGTTGACTTTGATGCAATGAAAATTATTGTAATATTGATGTGACGTACATATATTGTATATAGAAGTATTATACAACATTGACTTTTTTGTGCTCATGAATAGAGCAAAATTGTAGGCTAGAGGTAGATTACTGTGGTATCATGTTAAAATTCAAAGTTACTCAATTATATAATTTACTATTGAAATAGAATCACTCAGACTCAAGGTACAAACAGCACAAAAAATGCACATACACCTTCGAAAAAAATATGAAAATAAAAATTCAAAAATTTGTACCTAAAAATAAATTTTTACAATCTATTGTATAATAAGATGTATTATAAGAAAAAATTAAACAAATACCAAACGACTGTGTTGGTGCAGGAGTGTCTGAATTTAACATTACTTAAATTGGTTTTCCAAGTTCCAACAGTGACTTGTACAAATTTAAAATATTTATATAATAACACTGGCAGTGGATTAGCCAATTTCAAGTCGAAAGAATGAATTAGTTAATCATAATAATAATAATTTGATGATTTGGGTAATTGAAATTTTCAACCGACCATTTTATTAGAAAGAAAGTCCATTCCTAGAGCAACCTGTAGAGCATACCACAACAAGTCGGCATACGATAGTGCTATAATGGAGTCGTCTTCACTGACGCTGTTAGTGCTATTATTGTTGTTGTTGTTTCTGTTGCTGCTATTGTTGTCATCGTTCGATAACATTGTTGATGTTGTTGAATATGTCGGAGTGGAGGGTAGTCTCAAAAATAGTGACCTGTTGTTGTTGTTGAGTTTGTTGTTGTTTTCGGTCAAGTAGTTGCCGAGGTGATTGTTGATTATTGGTTGGTTCTGGTAGAAACATGAATCGTTGATGACGGCAACATTTTTGTTGTTGTTATTGTTGTCATCATGGCTGAGATGCGAGTCAATGTTATCGGCGTCGGCGCTGCTCGTAACGAAGTTGAAGTGTTTGCTGTTGTTGTTGGTGGTGGTGAGGTTGGCGAAACTGTTGCTGTTGACGTATCTAAAAACAGGCACGTCGTAGTTTGGAGTGTTGTTCACTGGACGGTTTCTTCTTAAAAAGTCTCTCAAATTCCCGTGGGCGGCATACTCAACAATGACTAAAAGTGGACCTGAGAATGCGAGTTGAAAGTTTCATCATTTTCACACCATCATCAATGCTATCTTGAGCGTGTCATCACCAATAACATCGTTATCACTATTTTGAAAATATTACCATTAGCAATCTTATCGGTTTGATCCTAAAAATTCAACGTAAAAATTTTATCATTTTTATTTTATCACCATCATTATTATCGAAAGATCATCATCATCGGTAACAGCATCATTATCAACAACAACAGCAGCAACATCGATAGCAACATCATTACAACAACAACATCGATAACAACACCATTATCATCAACAACATCATCATCATTATTAATATTAACTTTATCACCATTTTGAGTACAGCACCCCAATAAATTAAGCACGTTGTCATGGTGGCCTATCATCTTCATCAGTTCCATCTCTCTCACTAGGTCAGACATCTCAAGGTCAGTTGCGTCATCTCATTGAAATGGAAAAAATTCATTTCATTCACAGTTTTGTTCAAAATTTTATTAAAAGTAATATTACTAATCTCAAATGCTTTCTAATTAAATATAAATCTTAATTCAACTTTTTATATTTCTTATTTTATTAAAGTTGTAATGATATTTATTAATGTAACTTGGAAATAATTGTTCAGAAAATTTTGTTGTATGGAGAAAACTCTTTAAATGACCTTACCCTTCAACATCTTGACCGCTACAGTGATGGGACCATCGATGTTTCGTGCATACGTGCCCTTGGTCTTTAACCCAGTTATTTGACCTTTGGTCACTATGCCAAATGCACCCTCGCCTAATCTTTCCCCTAAGATTAATCTGTTTGTTTTATCAGGTGAAATATACTTTAAATTAAAAATAAAAGTTTGTAAATCGGAATGTTAAAGCATGAAATATGCATACAAAAAACTTAACTTGAAAAATTTATTTTCCATCATTATAATAATAAAATTTAAAAATAATATTTGCGTTTCATAGTAAAAATAGAAAAAATTGATGAAACGTCCTTACCAGACTTGCGACATTCGCCCACCATCAACCATCGTTTGTTTGTAATCAATATGCCATATGAGTTTAATAAAATTAAATAAAAGCACAAACAAGTCATTTAAGTGCAAAAAATACGTGAAATAATTTATTATGTAACGTAACGATGTGATCTTAGACCTCCATACATTCTTGAACGTTAGATCTCATTGATCAAACAAATAAAATTACTTCATTAAACTCGGTAAATTTAAAAATTGATACTCAATACTGCACTGAAATGAAAAGCATTTTATTGAATACAAAGTCACGTTGGGAGTATATTTTTGAAAGACTATAAAAAACAAACGTTGCAAGTGGTAGATGCAAGAGTTGAAATCCTTTGATCGTTAAAGAGAAAACTTGTTGTGCAACTTCAATTAAGTTGTCGCCAATTATTTGTGATCAAAAGATTTTAAACTCAAACCTAACTTCATTTTTTAAGCCTGGTCCAAATAACTTTCCAACTTTTTTAACAGGCATAAACAATTTTAAAATAAACAAAACTATAAAAAACTGAAACTAAACTCACTTGTTTCTTGGAACCTCCCATCTTTCATCGAGGGGCATTTCATACTCGGAAGAGGAAACAGCTCGATTCGAACTCAGCCTCCCTCTTTCAATTTCAATCTTCACTTCAGGTAGGAGGAGTGGGAACTTAGGAGTGGTTGGCAGGGAGCACGCGGGACTGTCTGTGAAGTTGAAAATGTTTCCGGTTTTATTTTCACCTTTTCGGAAGAGCAGAGAGGCCGTCGGGGAGATGGAATCGGTTTGAGATGAAAGTCTGCTCAGTGTTCCCGAGAAGTTCATTCTGTGGCCGTCTTGTGGAAATGCATGCATGTGTTAATAGGCATGTGCGTTTGTCGTGTTTATGTTAGTGTTTGTGTGTAGGGTGTGTATTTGAGCATGTGTGGTGTGTGTAGTTATTGTGTGTGTGTATATGTGTATTGTTAGAGAACAAACTTTTTTGTGTGTGATTCGTTTAATAAGTTAATTTTTATTGAAATTGTCCATTAAAATTGAGTTATTATGTTAATATAATAATAAAAATCAACAGATTTTTCGCAAAAGTATACAAGGAGTTTGAAAAAATTTTTCTTAAGAAATGTTGTAAAGGCCTCACCATCGTAAATAGCATTGGTCTGTAGGACGACCACCTTTTTCCTTATGATTCCCTCTTCCGCTTTCTTGTACTTGCGATAGTAAAAATAGCAGACGATCAAAATGACGATCAGGAGAATGAGGAAAATGGCGGAAATGGTGGAAATGATGTAGGCGTTCTTGTCCGAGTAGGAAGTCATTTTTTGGGGCTCTGTATGTGTGCGTCGTTATTAACATTTATCACGCACATTATCAGATACTAAAATTACTTTTTTACCATATATTGATAATACTGTTAATTTTTTGATGATACTTATACCATTACTAATAATACTGGTAATTTTTTTTACTAGTTCATTATATACTAATTCATTTTTTAGTATTTTATTTTTTAAATATACTTAGCCATGAATTATTTATGATTATAAAATAAATTAACTAAAAAGATAGAAATTTGTCATACGGATGACAGTAAGGAAGCCAAAACTGGACGTGGTACCAAGGGGGTTGTGGGCCTCGCAAGTGTACATGGCAGTGTCGTTTGGGGTGATGTTGAATATGTGGAGGCCCACTCTATCATCGATCGATATGTGGTTGTTTGTCTGAAATGGTAGGTAGGATGGTGGGTAATTGTCAAGTTTGTTCGTTAGTGTGTGTGCGCGAGCGAGTGAGTGCGCATGTGCGTGTGTGTGTTTGTGTGTGCATTTTTATGAGGGTTTTACAATCTAATGTTTAATTAATCAATTAATTAGTTTATTACTTATTAATTAATTAATTTATAATTAAATTTGCAGAATAACTATGCCGGCCCACCTCCAAAAGTTCTGTTAAAACTTTCGGCTTCGTGTTTTTGGCGTCATGGTTCATAGAGTCGTCGTTACGATAGTTGCCTTGGTTATCACTGGCACGAATTTTTTTGCTTTTACTACTTCCACTAACATTGCTTCTACCATCCATTTTATCTCCACTGCCACTACCACTATTGGCCGCACCGGCGCCAGCCACACTCACATTGTCACTACCGACTATGATGTGTTTGAGCCAGCGGACATGGACAACCCCATCACTCAAGACGTCACAGGGCAGGGTGACGTTGCTACCCACCTGGACGGTGGTGTTCCTAGGTCCCTTTAAGATGATTGGCGGGCTGTTGTAACGTACTGCAGGTAGGTGAATGGATGAGTAGATGAATGGATGAGTAGATGAATGGATGAATGAATGAATGAATAAACAAATCGCAAACGGAGATAGACTGGTTAAATAGAATTTTATAATTTCTAACTGGCAAACTTCACAGGAAAGATTGGTAATAATAATAACAATAACAGTAATAATAATAATAATAATAATAACAATAACAATAATAATAAAATAATAATAATAATAATTAACGTTGTTATCATGGTGATAATCATCAATACTCACTGATAACGTCGAGAGTTTTCCAAGATTGGATGCTGCCGAATTCGTTGCTGACCACACACGTGTAGTTGCCGTCGTCCGTCTTCGTTACTATTGATAGGATGGGGGCGATTATCATTGATATTATTTCTACTATTATTATTATTATTTGTTGTATTTATAATTTTTTATTGAATATGAAATTATTCATTATTTAATTATTCACTCATATGAAATTATTAATTATTATTATTATTATTATTTGTTGTAATTATAATTTTTTTATTGAATATGAAATTATGATGGAAAAATTGGTCGCGAACTTACGAGATTTAAGTTTTAAAGAATATTTATCATCTTCTATTATTGTTTCGCCTTTTCTATCCTGTGTACGTGTGTGTGTATGTGTGTGTGTGTGTGTGTGTGTGTGTGTGTGTAAGTGTAAGTGTATATATGCGTGTATTTGTTTGAAAAATTGCGTGTGTATGTGTTTGTGTGTGTGTGTGTCCATGCAATGTTTGTAATTTTATTAACATAACACCGATATACGATTTCAGCTAGCTTATATTTTCAGCGAGTTTTACGATATTGAACATAATTGTGATAATAATGGTATGATATATCAAATAATAAAAACAATAGGAATAATAATAATAATAACAACAATAATGATAATAATAGTAACATTGGGGTTGAAGGGCTGGTTCCCTTTGAACCACTTGATAGTTGGTTTGGGGTAGCCAGAGGCAGTGCACAGAAAGGTGTAGGAGCCACCAAGGATGTTTATCTCCAGTGGACCCATGCTCTTCTTGTTCGTGAATTTTGGTGGGCGGTTGACTAGGAAGGGATGGTGGTAGTGGTGACAATGGTGATGGTGGTGGTGATGATGATGGTGGGGGTGGTGATGATAGTGATGTTGGTAGTCGTGATGATGGTTATAGTGGTAGTAGTAATGGTGATGACGATGGTGACAAAAACTATTATAATAAGACTGACAAAATGACGATACGTTGATGACTGAAAATATGCTTTGATGATGACAATAATCGTAATTCTGCTGATGATGATGACAACGTTGTTGATGATGATGATGATGATGATGACGATGATGATGATGATGATGATGATGATGATGATGATGATGATGATGATGATGACAATGTTGTTGTTGATGATGATGATGATGATGATGATGATGATGATGATGATGACAATGTTGTTGTCGATGATGATAATATCAACATCATAATCTTATTATCAATATCACTATTTGATCATCATCATCATCGTCCTCATCATTTGGTCATCATCATCATTATCACCAATTGATCATCATCATCATCATCATCATCATCTGGTCATCATCATCATAATCACCATTCGATCATCATCATCATCATGATTCACCTTTATCAACGAGAACCGTCAGATTGACAATAATTTGATAAAAAATTTCATTAAGACCACCATCATCACTATCACCACCGCTCCCAAATCGACCACCACCACCATTACCATTTTTAACATTATACTTATTGCCCGTCCTAATAAACGATTTGTCGTTATTCGTGACTCTGTTACTAGTATTAATGCAAGGAGTAGCAACAGCAGCAGCAGCAGTAGTAGTAGTGGTGGTTGTAGTAATAGTGGTTGTAGTAGTGGTGGATGTAGTAAGAATACTTAGTGGCAGGCAGTAGTACACTCCGCTGTCGCTCGAATCAAGGTTTACCACTTTTAATGTTTTCTTGCCATAAATGTATCTGCCAGTAGTTGGGCGGTGATTTTTATTGAATGGCTGAGAATTATTTTGTATTAATTCTTATTAATTTTTGATATTTCGTGAATGAAATTAAAAAAATTTCTGATTAATCCAAACGATTTTAACATAGAAATTGCCACTTTTTATATTTTTTAGTTAATTTGTGTAATGCATTAGTGGTAATAGTTGATGTTCTCTCTCTCTCTCTCTCTCTCTCTCTCTCTCTCTCTCTCTCTCTCTCTCTCTCTCTCTCTCTCTCTCTCTCTCTGTGTGTGTGTGTGTGTGTGTGTGTGTAGTGATTGTGCGTGTTTGTGTGCGTGCGTGCGTGTGTGTATGTCATATAGACATAACAATTACTATTTTCGTTATTGGATTGTTGTTCGAATTTGTATCTGCATTGTCGTAAAAATTTTTGTACTTAAAATCATTGCACCATTAAAAAATATGGCGGTGCAGTGGTGCAATGGTTAAGATGTCTGGCATTGGAGTTGCTTTGATTAGCTTCAAATGCAAACAGATTTCCGCCTAGCGCACGCACCGTGCGTGATGCTTTTGTTCACGCAAATTTATATACGTTGCGTTTGTTGTTGACGCCTCTTTAAAATATTTATAAGAAGATTGAAGTTAAAATAAACAAACTTGGGTGAGTTGATGACGTTGATGATGACGTCATTTTTGTACCAGAGAGCTGATAGGCTGCTGCTGTTGCACGGTATGGTCACCGAATCGCCTGCATCCACTTCCACTTGTTTAACTGAGGATTGATGAATGGTGGTGATGATGATGATGACGAAGAAGAAGATGGCAATGAAGAAGATACAAATGATGATGACAATGATGAATATGGTGCTAACTATTAATATTATAATAATTGCTGCTGATGTATATAAAGTTTAATCACATGTGTAGAATTATGTGTGAGTCTGAGCAGGTCTGCATTTGAAGGAGCTGCTCTGTAGAGAATAAAAATCAGTTAAATTGATATAAGCATCTCTTTGACATAGAGAATACGGAGATAAAATATGTGGCGTTGTAATGAAAGTACAACCATGTAACCAAGTTAAAAGAGAGAGCCAGGTGCAAAATTGCATACATTAAGTCAGGCTGTGGTCTGTGGTGTACTTTGGTGTGATGTTGTGTGGCCTGGTGACTTCATCATCTGTTCGGCAACTCACCATGAAAGACATGTTAATGTTGTTTTAAGTTATCCGTGTTTGTTTATGTTTGTGTGTGTGTGTGTGTGTGAGAGAGAGAGAGAGTGAGTCCGTGTGTGTGTGTGTCTGTGTGTGTTGGCGTGTTGGTGTGTTTTGTGTGTATACAATGAATATGTTTATTGTTTATAAAACGGTTATTGAGGTGGTTGCGTATGCTTTTGAATGTTTTTTATGCTCCTGTAATTTTGTGCGTTTGTGTACGTATAAAGTAAATTTTTTAAATACATATACAAATGTTTGTATGAATGCAAGTGTGTGTATGCATATATGTGTGTTAGTGTGTGTGTTAGTGTTAGTGTGTTTGTGTGTGTGTTTGTGTGTGTGTGTGTGTTTATGTATTTATGTTTATTTGTGTGTTTGCATATTTTAACTGTGTTGTATCATATAAACAGTTTTGTATACACACACATCAACGCGTACACGAATGATCGTAAAACTTGCGAGTAAAGTTTCATAAGAAGAATCTGATACGCATCAAGTGCAGCCGACACACACAGCAGCAGTAACAGTAATAAAGAAGTGACATTTATACATTTGTGACCGGTTTCCAATTATAAATTCCATTTTCTTCGTTGTCGTCATCATCTTCTCACTTACGTCCTAGTCTGTAACTACATGATCATCATATTATCGTAATTGTTACTTTCTTATCATTCCTTCCATCATTTCTTAACTTAGCCATCATCACCCTCATCATGATCAGCATCAGCAGCAGAAAGCAGTGTGATCATCGTGATCAAAATATGCCTTACTTAGGTAAACGTGAAATTATCATTGACACCGTCTGTATCATTATAGTTGTTTCCGCGCTAAGATAATCAAATAATAATCAAAATCATGATGGTAATATGTAGGAGATAACCGATGAAAAGCAAATGGCAGTAATAAGACAAAGAAAATAATAATAACAAATTTTCATACATTTATCGATGTAGAGGATTTAATGACCTTATATAAGCTCATTATTATGGCTCCTCATCTTAAGTAGCAACACATTATTATTATTTATTATTTTTATTATTATTATTGTTGTTGTTCTGCAAAAAGTTGTTGTTTTGTTGTTTAACAGTAGTTGTCGTTTCTCTAATTTTATTGAATAATCTGGAAACTGACACGAACGTTATTAAACTTTCATTCCTTCGTTCGTACGTTCATTTATTCATTTCGTCTTTTATTTACTCTTTTATTATTTGCTCATTCATTCATTCATTCATTCATTCATTCGTTCGTTCGTTCATTCGTTCGTTCATTCGTTCATTCGTTCGTTCGTTCGTTCGTTCGTTCGTTCGTTCATTCATTCATTCACCCATCCATTCATTCAATCATTTATTCATTTATTTTATTCATTCATTAATTTAAGTCATTCACATTCTGTTAAACGAAATAAATAAACAAAACTGGATGAACAAACAAACGAACGAACAAACAAACCACCGAACAAACATCTTAATCATATCACAGTCGTGAACGAACAACCGACGGTTAAATTTAAATACACATTTAAGATTACAAGCTAAATAAGCCATTAAATTTTAAATCTACCAATTACATTACACAAATGGTTGTCGTCGTTGGAATGAATCATACAAGATAAAACTAGAATTGATCTATAGATATGTAGTAATAATATAATAATAACGTGGATAAGCAACAATATATTTGCTATTCGTATAAACATCTTTTGTTCGTCGTTTTGTTGGTTTTGTGCGTGTTTGTTTGTTTGTTTGCCTCTTTGTTTGTTTGTTTGTTTGTTTGCCTCTTTGTTTGTTGTCAATCAATGTGATTGAATTATTTAAAAGTGGGAGATGAATTTTAGAATCCTGAAGATGATGACATTATTTGCCAGTTCCCGTAATTTTTATTTACCTCGTTTTGGTGTTGTGTAGAAACTGGTCCTCGGAAATTCCAAACCAATGGACATCTTTTGCTCATTTCGTTTACTGTGTTACTAAATTTTACACTGAATCATCAATAATTTCATCCGTCATGCTCTGGGGCTGGTGGGGGAGGCCTCACCCTCCAGCCCCCTGCTGGATCCGCCACTGAGTAAAACCAAAAATGAAATTTAAATTCTGATAATGATTACTTTTTAAATTTTCTTCAACTGTATTTTTTTTTATTTGTGCTATATCGAGTTTTTAAATTTGTTTTTTAAAATGAATGGGTCGATTAAAAATTCCAAACTCAGTTGAACGAATAGACAGGACAGCCTATCATTCAATCATTCAATCAGTCGTCGTAATGCGATTGCACTGTAGCTAAGCTTACAATGGATACACACCAATTGATACTATCACTTGATACATACCAGTTGATACATAGTAATAGTATATTAGAAATCCAAAATCCGATAGTGACGTTATCACTGACGATGATGATGATGATGATGATGATGATGATGATGATGTTGATAATTTTGATGATGATTTTGTTTATGACAGTCATCATCGTAATCACCATCACGGCAACCATTCTCATGATTATCATAATCGTAATCATCATCATCGTCGTCGTGATCATCATCATTATCGTCGTCATCGTCACAACAGCAGAGTTACGAACGGAGTAATAAATAATGATAATTAGATAGATGGAAGTGCAGTATGCCAGGGTAGTGCCATAGTTTGATCGTGTGGGGTCAATGAATGAATGAACGAATGAATGAATGAATGAATGAATGAATGAATGAATGAATGAATGAATGAATGAATGAATGAACGAACAAACAAACAAACAAACGAACGAACGAACGAACGAACGAAAGAACGAATGAATGAATGATATTAAGTGAATAGATAAATAAACATTACATTTGGTGAGAAAATTAAT